CTCGCGAGGGAGGAGGAGGAGGAGGAGGAGGAGGAAGAAGGAGGAGAGGGGAGGAAGAGGAGGGGGAACAGGGGGAGAAGGAGGAGGACGACGACGGGGACGAGGACGAAGAGGAGGAGGGGAGAGAGTGGAGGAGGGGGAGATGGATCAGGGAGGAGGAGGAAGAGGAGAAGGAGGAGGAGGAGGAGGAGGGAGGAGGAGGGAGGAGGAGGAGGACGACGAAGAGGAAAGGGAGGGATTGCAGGAGGGAGGAGGGGGTAGGGAGAAGGGAAGAAGAGAAGGGAGGAGGAAACTGGGAAGAGGAGGGAAGGAAGGAAAAATGGCTCATGAGGAGGAGGCACAAAGGGCGAGGGATGGAGGGCCGGAGGGGGGGGGGCTCATTCACGCTCCGGGCACGTGTGCGGTCCATCCTGCGGAGCATGGAAAAGGCATCAATGGAACTGCCGACTTTCGCGCCGTCGACTTCGTTCCCCCAACACGTCCCATGTATCATCGGCGCCTCTTTCCCCAAGCCCTTCCGTTGTGGATCGCATACGTGCCCGAAGCGCGGGGAGGGAGTAGGGCGGGCACAGACGTGAACAGCAGGCATGAGGCACACGACGGCGCACACGGTAGAGGACGGTGAGGGTGGCAGACTGATCCTGTTGCGCATTATGGATCCGTGCAAGTGCCATGCGTTGCCGTTTGGGTTCCAGCCAGTGCTGCTTCATCCAGCATGGAGCGCCCGCGCTGGAAGAGGGGGGTGCTGGGCCCCCCCTGCACGGCAGCTTCTGCGCCAGGCCGCGCGCGGCTGCGATGCCTCGCCGGTCTGTCCCACTGGCTTGGGGTGGTCGCGCTCGCCGTGCCGCCGCGATTCCGGCAGGGGCCGATCCTGGACGAGCCGCCAGAGCGCCCGTGGGCATTCGGCGGGTCGGCAGGGCACATCTTGCCGTACATCCAGAGCGGCGGGAGATTGGAAATTCCAGTTTCATCGTCGTGGTCCTTCTCCTCCTCCTCTTCGTCATCGTCGTCGTCATTCTCGTCGTCGTCCTCCTTCTCCCAGAGGAGTCTGCGCCAGCTGGCGGAGGCGCTGCGGCCGCGGCGCCGGCGCCGGGATGTGTCGGACGAGCCCGCGGTCTGGGTGGCCCGGCGCCGCGCCCGTGTGGCTCTGCTTCACCACGCTGAGCTGGAAGCGCAGGAGCTGGAGCAGCAGGGCGACGCAGCGAAGGCCGCCACGTGGCGCGCGGCGGCGAGGGCCAAGCAGGAGCAGCGCGACAGCGCCAGGCTCGTTTCTCAGGGGGACTTCCGTGTGCGTTGTTCTTCCCACTCTGACGACGGGGGGGCCTTGCGGCCAGCGCCGCCGACCCTGCACGACGAGGGCGACGACGACGACGCTAAGGAGGAGAAAGAGGACAGACGACGACGACGACGACGACGATGACGACGACGACGACGACGACGACGACGACGACGACGACGACGACGACGACGACGACGACGACGGACGACGGACGACGACGACGACGACGACGACGACGACGACGACGACGACGACGACGACGACGACGACCAGGGCGAGGGCGAGGGCGACGACGACGACGACGAACGTCCCCCATCCGCAGGCGCACCGCCACGCAGCAGTTCCTCGACCGCCACTCCGGCGGGCGCGGCCCGCCGACGAGCAGCAGCCGCAACGGAGAGGCATCCCGCGGCGAGGGGGGTGCAGCGGCACCTGGAGGCTCCTGGTCGCTGCGTCCTCCGCCAGTGGCCGCGGCGGCAGACCCGCCGTCCCGCCTGCTTGAGGCATTGGCGGTTTTGTCTGCGGCGGGCAACACTCCCTGGGTCCGCCTCACCGCCGCTTCCAATGCCGCAGGCTTGCCTTTGGCTGTGGCGCAGGAGGCTTGCCACAAGGCTGCCAGCACGGGCCGGCTCTGGTGGTGCGACTGCTGGTGCCGCGTGCCGCCTGGGCAATGGCACATCCCGCCCCTGTGGACTCCCGCAGCAGACTCTCGCCTCCTGTGCGCCCTGCCCCAGCCCAACTTCCGAGACGCCCGGACTCTTGCAGACGTGCTTGGTGGCGCCGACCAAAGGTGGGTGCCCCGCGTGTGTTTTGTAGTCGCTGCGCGGCACAATTGGGGTTGGCCCGACTTCCAGACACAAGCTCTCTTGAATAGTTTGCTTTCCGGTTCGGGGTTGCACGGTGCCCCAGGGGACTGGGTCCGCGAAGACGGGCCGTTCATTCTTTTCACAGACGACCGCGACGACGGGGTCGTGGCCAGGGCAATCTTGTCTGCTTACGTGTGAGACGAGTTGGGGGAGAACGGCGCGGGGGCGCTGTCGAAAAAAACACAGCGCTCGCCTGGCACCACCGGGCGGGGCACGCGCCATCGCCAGCCCGCCTGCTCCGCCTAACGCTATCGCTGTTTCCTGCTGCAGCGGGGGCCACCGCGCCTGGGGGGAGGCGCGCGCCGCCGCGGCGGAAATCTGCGGGGCCACCTGCGCATGGGCAGTGCTCCAGGACAGGCCCGTCCTGACCCCTGCGCGCGCGCTGGCGCCCGCGCGCTCCGAAGGTGACGCGGCGCCGCCAGGCGGAGGCAGGACGGGTCTGGCCAGGAACACTGCGCGTGCGCATGTCTTCTCGCCCCGGTGCCATGGCGAAGACGGCCATGAAGGTGACCCGGGGGTTCGCTCGTGTCCGGAAGGCGCTGAAGCGGCCTGCTGCTGCGCTGGTTCCCCAGGAACGACGGAGGTGCAGGAAGCTTGGGTGGAAGGGCCCGCGCCCGCACAAGCGGGGCGGCCAGCACGGGTACGCCCACCCGCACGCCGCTCGCCCGGCGCCTCTGACGGGCAAGGCCAAGGCCGGCACGGCGGGAGGGCTCAGTCCTCCTATCCGCGGCTGGACGGAGATCGAAAAACTTGTCCGTCTCCCGGGGCCACGGAGCAGGAGGCGGACGACGAGGACGAGGACGAGGAGGAGGAGAAGGAGGACGACGAGGAGGAGGAGGAGGAACAGGAGGAACAAAAGGACACGGAGGACGAGGAGGACGGCGAGGAGGAGCTGCAGGATGACGAGGGGGAGAGGCCCTGTTCGACTCCGTTCCGTACCGGAGCGACACGGAACTGGCGGCCATCAGGGCTGCGCAAGAAGCGGGGCGCCTTCGGTCGGCTGCAGCGTTGGAGGTCACGTACCCGGCCCTGCTCGCAAGCACAGACACAGAGAAGAAGGCCCTAGCATACGTGAAGGCGCACGGTCTCATCCCAGGCCTCAAGTTCCGCACGTGTTGGTTCTGCAAGGGGAAGTTGGCTGTCAAAACAAAACGGGAGGTCAAACAGCTCCGCTGCGGCACAGCGGGGTGTCGAGCGTGGGTCCCCCAGGAGGTTTTCACCCCCCTGCACTACGCGACGGGGAGCGGGGGTGGGTTCAAGAAGAAGGACGCACCCGAGGGGGAGGACACCCGCTTGAAGGCCAGCCAATACGCGAGGGTGCTCGCTCTCTACGGCGCGAGGTGCCACCCAGACCAAGTGCCTTTCTTCTGCCCAGTGGGGCGCCGACAGGCCCACCTGTCCTTCTCTTCCCTTCCCCGAGCCCTCTGTGGAACGTTCCGTGCACTTGGTCTGGGACAGGTCGTTCGCGTCTGGAACTTCGCTCGTCGTGCCACGGCTTGGGCGGAGGAGAGAGAGGGCGAGAAACTTCGGATCGAGGACGGCGTGGCCGAAGCAGACAGCACACGAGTCTTGGCGAAGCGCACAGACCCAGCAGTCACGAAACACAGGGGCAGGGTGCTCGCCGTGGTGCGCAGGAGCACCAACGAGACCAGCTACGTCCGTCTCCCCAACAAGGTCACCAAAAAGGGAGCCAGCTCACCGCCAGAGTCGAAGAAGGAGGTCCGAGGGCACGGGTTTCACAAAGGAGGGGCGGCGAGAGGACATCCGCGGGAGCAGGCGGAAGTCCCTCGTCGTCGTCCTCCTCCTGCTCCTCGTCGTCGTCGTCGCCCCCCTCCTCCTCCTCCTCCTCCTCCTCGTCGTCGTCGTCGTCGTCCTCCTCGTCGTGGTCGTCGTCGTCGTCGTCCTCGTCGTCGTCGTGGTCGTCGTCGTCGTCCTCGCCCTCGTCGTCGTCGTCGCCGGGGGAACTGCCAGGTGACAGCCGCGCTCGTGAAGCGCGTGGGCCCCAAGGCCATCTTGGGGGTGGACGGGGCCCAAGTGTGGAAAGGGGCCGCAAAGGCCATCGGCACAGGGAAGGTGGCGTCTGCGAACCACTCGAAACGACAGTACACAACCCTGCAGCAGTACCCCGTCGGTCACCGCAAGAAGTCGGCAGCAGCGGCCACGAGGGCGGCCAAGACGGGGAAACGGACGACTCGGACACACTTCGTCAAGGGCGGAGACAACGTCGCGGAAGCGAAGTTTGGAGGTGTTAAAAGGTGGCCCGGAGCCGAAAGGGCGCGAGTGCCTGTGCCAGTGGGCACTGACGTCGTGGGCCAGACTGCCCGCGTAAGCCCGCCGTGTAGTGCCGGGGGGCGCGGGGGGGCGAGGCAAGCCTTCGTCGCGGCGCCTGTCTGTGGCCGCCCTGGGGCTCAAGCACGCCAGTGTGCGTCGGTTGCGCGCGGCCCGGGCCTGTGCACCGGCGGCGCTGGCGTCGCCAGTAGGGCGGGTGCGCACAGGTGCCCAGACTTAGCCATGCCCCGGCCCCCCCCCGCCCATCGCACGCCGTGGCGTTTTCCGTGGCCCCCCCCTCCACACAAAGACCCAGGCGGCGGTGAGGCTGCCCGCGTACGTGGGCCCCTCGGGGTCCTCGCCCTCCACCCACACACACACGCACACGCACGCACGCACGCACGCACGCACGCACGCACGCACGCACACACACGCACACACACACACACGCACACACACACACACACACACACACGCACACGCGCACGCATGCACGCACACACGCACACGCACACAGACACACACACACGCACACGCACACGCACACGCACACACACATACACACACACACACAGTGGTCATACTCT